CAACCTGATTTTGTTCTTTCCCCTATAATCGGCGGCGTCGGTTAAGAGACAATGGGTTAATCATGCCAGGCAGGACACTTGCATCCATCCAACCGTGAGGGCTAGCTTGATACAAGCGCATCCATCATTCTCTTCTTCTGTTGAATAAAGTATGGGCCTGATACAAGTGCGATGGTTGTGTTTGATTCCTTGCTTAGCTGAACGATGCTAAAATTAGTAGGTGTTATATGCTGAACGATGCTAGCTGTTGTACCGATATGGATTATTGGCAGCAACTTAGGCTAGCTGGGTACTGTACTTTGGACAGTGTTGCTTCTCTGTCCATTCAATATTCATTGATGGGGGACTACTGGTTTCAGATATGTTCCTCTTGTAGTCTGTATCATATATGATGTAATGCTTTGTGTATTGGTTAGTGCTGCTCTGTTGTATTGATGATGTATGAAATTCGCTCTTGTGCTAGTTGCAAGTGAGAGAATCTAAAAACTAGTGTGATGACAGTGATCGTTCAGATTGTGAGTCTCTGATGCGGGCAGGTAGAGCATGAGGGGAGAAAATCCTTCTATTTGCACACTCTAAATGGCCACTTCGAACCAAAATTCAGTAAGGGACGTTACAATGATGTGGGAAATGGTCAAATATAAGAGGATGTTTATGATTCGTGTATGGAGGCACTCTGAACATTTTTTGTTTTGCACAATAATAATATTGAATTTGTGTGATCTGTCTGATTGCTTATGCTTCTGGCAGATGAGCGATTTTATTTGACAGATGGATTGTAACTTGCCTAGTGAACTGTAAACTAATTTTTGAAAGATCTCCACAATCAATTGATTTCTGGTTGCTGCAAAATGGAAGCATGGTAGAAATTAAAAAAATTGTGTGATTGCACCTGATAGCAAAGCAGTACTACTTGCAGGCGTTACGTTTTTTGATCCCCCTTGTTTCCTGTTGTGTGTACTGAGAAAGTTTGTTTTTGCAGCTAAGAGGGCATGGGCCTCGACCTCCACGGACGGTGGCTAGATCGAGCGGAGCTTCCCTTCCTCTGCCTGGCGGGGCAAGGACAAGGACAAGCAGCAACATCATCGCATCATCAAGGTTCGATCCCCCTTGTTGCAATCCCTCCCTCCCTCATGTTGAATTGATGTTGAATTCAAGCCAAAGTACCCGTGATTAACCTCTGCTTTCCTCTCTCACTCCTTGTGCAGCGACTGTTGATTGGTCACCACCAAGCTCAGGTCCATGGAGCTCCAGTGTCAAGGGCACAAAAGTCAGCTACCTGCTGCTCCTTTGTTGATTCTGTTAAGAACTTAATAAGTGCATGCTATACTGTTGCTTACTAGGCCAGAAGTGTTTTTCTATGCTAGAAGTCATTAGTAGATCATGAATCCTTCATTTTGTGTTGCTTTCACCAGAAAACTGCTATTTATCATGAAGCACTAGTATCTTTTGTTGGACTGCAGCAACAGTTGCAACTATGCCATAATAATTTATACAAGATGCCATCTTGCCTAAACAATCAAACTCAACTGTTGCAGCCTCTTGTGTCACCTACTTCCTGTATGAAACAATGAAATAGATGAGCTTAGTTCTGTGCACTTTCTTTTAGTGTTAAGGTTGATGTGCTTTAAATTTTATTTCTGGTTCCTTTAAGCTCAGATATTTTCCAGAATGAAATACATGCTTTTCTGTAACTTTAGATATTTTCCAGAATAGTTTGCTTGGTCCTTCATATCTAAAGCTTGCATGTACTGTAGAAGCTCTACTTTATGCTAATACTTGCTTGTGTAACATCTTTCATGGCATACTTCTAAATGGACAAGTACGTGCGACGTCCAGCGTCAACGATGATGCGGACCATATGTTCAAGTGTTCAACTGCAGCCCCATCCATTGCATTGACACCAGCGTATGTACTCTGTCTTGCTGAACAGATATGGGCCTGATGCTTGATGTCCTTATGCCTGATGCATGTATCATGTGACATACACATAATTAACTTTGACATAGTTGCTCTGTTACAGCAGATGGCAAGATGAATAGCTAGTGTTCGCACCTGGTAGTTTAATAGGTACTATTGATTGAATATGAATGTTATTCCATATACTCAAATGGAACTTCGATCTGCTGTAACTTTGAATGATGGTTTTTAAATCTTGTCGTGTATGTGAAACATTCCATGCTCGTTTGCTGCTAAGTTTGTCATATGTGCCAATTCAATTCCCAATTTTGATCAATAACCATATTCTGGATAAGTAGAATGATCTGGTTAATAATAATACTAAGGAGAATGATAATATACTGGTGTATCTTCACTTTTTATTTTAAAAGTACTCTGTATTCTATCAGTGACTTACCTTTTGCTCTCTTTTGAATGCTCAGATGTTTTGCATCAGCCTGTCATTGCTTGCTAAGGGAGAAGCGGGACTTGGAGAAGAAATCTTTCCATTAAGTAGATTACATGTTTGGTTGCTGTGAAGTACCAGATAGGCTAGTTCTATTTTTTTTCATGATCCTGGAGTATTTCAGCAGCGCCATGCAAATGCAGTAGCGTTTGTTTTTTGTTTGTAAAAACTTAGTTAGCCCGCAGTCAGTCAGTAGTAGCTCAGCCAGCCAGCCTCAAATAGTATTACTGGAATGAATGGTTGTAATATAATAACATTGCACGTTGCTTTGAAAATGTACCAGAACTTGTGGTGATGTGGTGATGTGTTGTAATGTCAATGGCATAATAATTTTTTTTGGATTGGATCAATTTTTTCGGAACTGGGCTAGGCCCAAGTTATATTGGACAATTATTTTTTAGGGAAGAACATGAGAGGCCAGCAAAAAAATGGGCCAGAAAAATACATGATCAAAAAGAAAATCCCCTGCTAAAAGGGCCACGCAAAGAAATCAATAAGGCTGAATTGTTGGGCCAGACTCATGTAGCTAATAAAAGCACAGGAAAAAATACAGTAAAAAGGCCGAATTGTTGGGCTCGGCCCATGTAGAAAATCGAATTGGACCGGGCTGAATCTTGTGCCACATCAGATTGCCACGCTGGATGCCTACGTGGCCTGAGGAGATTGCTAGTGACCAAAACGCCACAGTAGGAATATTTTGGTCGTAAACGTCTTTGACCATTCCAGAAGAAAGGTCGCTATAGTCAGTTTACGACGGCCAGCTTTTGACCTTCTGTTTTTGGTCATAAAAAGGTCGTAAATGGAAATTTATGGCCTTTCAGTGACCAATAGTGGTGGTCACAAGTTGACATATTTCTTGTAGTGACCGGCGGGGTGGGGCTAACCGAACAAAGCCTAAAAAAGAACAACTATTGAACTGTTAGACTATAAGTGGGTATAAAGGCGACAGTTTATATCCTAGTCATGATCTAAGGAGCCACAATCCTCGGGCACAAACAAATCATGCAGTCCATGATGACAACCAAACTAGACCGATCACCTGCACGGACGGACACACCGCACCAAACCGAGCCCTCGGCGGCACGCTCATGCCCGGCGCACCCTACCGCTCGTCCACGCGACACGAGACATGGCCGTGACCCCTCGCGTGGAAGATCGCAGGGAAGGAGCGACTGGGCGGGTCTCCGTGGCAAACCTCCGACGCTGGCCAACGAACAGGAAGCAAGCTGGAAATCGCACCTGTGAGGATCGGAGGACGGAGGTCCTTCCAACCCAAAAGCGTCCAAGTTGGGCGGCAATGATGCATGGCATCTCTGTCCACGTACCCTACATGCCACATGGACTCATGGAGCACAGACGGTCGACGCGTCAGCCAATGAGAAACTGACATTTCTCTCCGCCATAACTGGTGTGGCCCTGCTGCTGTGTGTTTCGCACCAAACCTTGTACTACTACTGTCCTCCGTTCGATGGAAGTGAATAAATGATGAGGCCCGGGTGCTCGCTCCCTTAGATATCTTCTTCTGATCAAAAACAAAAAACATGTGGTTCATCAGGTTGTCCAGTCGTTTTATAATCATCACACAACTCTCCCTCTACCTGTCTCTTCTATGGCTGCCATTCTCCATCCTGCAGCAAGCAGCACCACACTGATTAAGAGGGAGCACACTTGTTCACAGAGTGGAGTGGCGTCGTCCTGTTAGGGCTGCTGTCCACCGGTGGAGGCTGGCTTGTTTTAGTCCCACCTCGCTTCAGGAGGAGGCCATGACCAACTTATAAGGGAGAGTATCCCTCCTCCTTTCAGTCCGGGCTTTTGGGATGGAATGGGCTCTCTGCTGAATGTTGGCCCATGTGCGCATAAACATCCAGAACGTAAGTAGAGTGTGGGCTAGATCAAGTTGGACGCTAACATCTGGTATCAGAGCCAGCATCGGCATGCCTTCCTG